CTTAAAGTACTGGTAAACAATATACCAATCTTACTATATATAAAGCGAGACGATATATATATATGGATATATATTATATCCGTGCCATTTTACTGACACCAGGGCATCAACTTTAACGCGACTTTCCGCAAAAACCGTAAAAGATATACAACTGAAATTTTTTTGACTGGGTCAAATGCTTTAATGGCCTTCAAATCAGCATGAAAAAATTAAAAATTGGCCAAGGAATAAGAATTTTAGTGCCCAAAATTTGGACTCCCAAGTGGTGTCAAAAACGCGAATTAAATAGGTAATAATTATTTTATTCTCTCGAGTCTTGACACCACTTTAGGGTAGACGGGTTCCTGCTAGTATATATAATGTAACACTGTTTTTTAATTCTATATCATATAAAATGTTATAAAATGTGACCAGTTATTGATTCACATAGCGATCTAGTGACTATTGACCTCAACGCCCAATAGTTACTTCATTACAGGTTCATTGTTCGGTGTGTTTACATTAATTTCATCTTGTGTACATTAAACAAATCACCCTCCGCAAGCAATCACCCTCCGCAAGCAATCACCCATATCTCCGCTCTGTTTAATCAAACCACTTTCTATTTTATACGGTAGTTTCTTCGTTCTTCTTCTCCGCATCATATTCTCACCACCTTGTTACTAGAGTAAACAACACCACCCTGTTACTAGAGTAAACAACACCACCCTGTTACTAGAGTAAACAACACCACCCTGCTACTAGAGTAAACAACACCACCCTGTTACTAGAGTAAACAACACCACCCTGTTACTAGAGTAAACAACACCACCCTGTTACTAGAGTAAACAACACCACCCTGTTACTAGAGTAAACAACACCACCCTGTTACTAGAGTAAACAACACCACCCTGTTACTAGAGTAAACGACACCACCCTGTTACTAGAGTAAACGACACCACCCTGTTACTAGAGTAAACAACACCACCCTGTTACTAGAGTAAACAACACCACCCTGTTACTAGAGTAAACAGCACCACCCTGTTACTAGAGTAAACAACACCACCCTGTTACTAGAGTAAACAACACCACCCTGTTACTAGAGTAAACAACACCACCCTGTTACTAGAGTAAACAACACCACCCTGTTACTAGAGTAAACAACACCACCCTGTTACTAAAGTAAACAACACCACCCTGTTACTAGAGTAAACAACACCACCCTGTTACTAGAGTAAACAACACCACCCTGTTACTAGAGTAAACAACACCACCCTGTTACTAGAGTAAACAACACCACCCTGTTACTAGAGTAAACAACACCACCCTGTTACTAGAGTAAACAACACCACCCTGTTACTAGAGTAAACAACACCACCCTGTTACTAGAGTAAACAACACCACCCTGTTACTAGAGTAAACAACACCACCCTGTTACTAGAGTAAACAACACCACCCTGTTACTAGAGTAAACAACACCACCCTGTTACTAGAGTAAACAACACCACCCTGTTACTAGAGTAAACAACACCACCCTGTTACTAGAGTAAACGACACCACCCTGTTACTAGAGTAAACGACACCACCCTGTTACTAGAGTAAACAACACCACCCTGTTACTAGAGTAAACAACACCACCCTGTTACTAGAGTAAACAACACCACCCTGTTACTAGAGTAAACAACACCACCCTGTTACTAGAGTAAACAACACCACCCTGTTACTAGAGTAAACAACACCACCCTGTTACTAGAGTAAACAACACCACCCTGTTACTAGAGTAAACAACACCACCCTGTTACTAGAGTAAACAACACCACCCTGTTACTAGAGTAAACAACACCACCCTGTTACTAGAGTAAACAACACCACCCTGTTACTAGAGTAAACAACACCACCCTGTTACTAGAGTAAACAAACACCACCCTGTTACTAGAGTAAACAACACCACCCTGTTACTAGAGTAAACAACACCACCCTGTTACTAGAGTAAACAACACCACCCTGTTACTAGAGTAAACAACACCACCTTGTTACTAGAGTAAAACAACACCACCCTGTTACTAGAGTAAACAACACCACCCTGTTACTAGAGTAAACAACACCACCCTGTTACTAGAGTAAACAACACCACCCTGTTACTAGAGTAAACAACACCACCCTGTTACTAGAGTAAACAACACCACCCTGTTACTAGAGTAAACAACACCACCCTGTTACTAGAGTAAACAACACCACCCTGTTACTAGAGTAAACGACACCACCCTGTTACTAGAGTAAACGACACCACCCTGTTACTAGAGTAAACAACACCACCCTGTTACTAGAGTAAACAACACCACCCTGTTACTAGAGTAAACAACACCACCCTGTTACTAGAGTAAACAACACCACCCTGTTACTAGAGTAAACAACACCACCCTGTTACTAGAGTAAACAACACCACCCTGTTACTAGAGTAAACAACACCACCCTGTTACTAGAGTAAACAACACCACCCTGTTACTAGAGTAAACAACACCACCCTGTTACTAGAGTAAACAACACCACCCTGTTACTAGAGTAAACAACACCACCCTGTTACTAGAGTAAACAACACCACCCTGTTACTAGAGTAAACAACACCACCCTGTTACTAGAGTAAACAACACCACCCTGTTACTAGAGTAAACAACACCACCCTGTTACTAGAGTAAACAACACCACCCTGTTACTAGAGTAAACAACACCACCCTGTTACTAGAGTAAACAACACCACCCTGTTACTAGAGTAAACAACACCACCCTGTTACTAGAGTAAACGACACCACCCTGTTACTAGAGTAAACAACACCACCCTGTTACTAGAGTAAACAACACCACCCTGTTACTAGAGTAAACAACACCACCCTGTTACTAGAGTAAACAACACCACCCTGTTACTAGAGTAAACAACACCACCCTGTTACTAGAGTAAACAACACCACCCTGTTACTAGAGTAAACAACACCACCCTGTTACTAGAGTAAACAACACCACCCTGTTACTAGAGTAAACAACACCACCCTGTTACTAGAGTAAACAACACCACCCTGTTACTAGAGTAAACAACACCACCCTGTTACTAGAGTAAACAACACCACCCTGTTACTAGAGTAAACAACACCACCCTGTTACTAGAGTAAACAACACCACCCTGTTACTAGAGTAAACAACACCACCCTGTTACTAGAGTAAACAACACCACCCTGTTACTAGAGTAAACAACACCACCCTGTTACTAGAGTAAACAACACCACCCTGTTACTAGAGTAAACAACACCACCCTGTTTACTGTTACTAGAGTAAATAACCGACCTGAACTTTCCAATTCTGCACTCAAACTTTTTTAAACTCATAAATGCTGCATAACTTTATGTAACTAAATCATCATTAAGTACACTTAATCTATAGTTGAATTATGTTCTCTATTTTCATTAGATAACTAGGTAAATAGTTTCTACCCCCCCCCCCCCCTCTATACATGTACTAAATTGTTCGCATAATGCGGCAAAATGCGGCCACTCCTCAAGCTTTCATGCTGACCAAAATACTCCTTTTAGAAGTCAACATGTTGCTATTTTCCCACAGCTTTCACTTCAGCGCTTAACTTCATATTTAAATTTTAAATGGAAATTAAAGATTACCGTCATATGCTCTACGTGGATTGAACTATTTGCATAAATGTCAATTAAACCGTGAAATGCTGGATCAGAGGGGGGTATAAGACGTATCTACTACGTCAATCTACGTATAACTTACCAGTGCAGTACCTTATATGGGCATCACGTGGGTGTGTTACCCTCCGCAAGCAATCACAAATACCAGTGAGCTGTCAGAGCCAATCAGAACACCACCTGTCATCTTGAAACTATAGTTAGTTTCTCAGATTAGGACCTGACATTCTACCAGCTTTCATACCTCTAGTCTCTAGTCTCTACTTGCCATTCTACCAGCTTTCATACCTCTAGTCTCTAGTCTCTACTTGCCATTTTCATAAGTTTATGTTGTCATTCTCGTTGGCTTTTATTTTATGGTGTATCGCGATGTTGATCTTTATGTAGACTAGCAGGAACCCGTATAACCCTAAAATGGTGTCAAGACTCATGAGACTAAAATAATTATTACCTATTTAATTCGCGTTTTTGACACCACTTGGGGGTCCAAATTTTGGGCTCTAAAACTCCTATTCCTTGGCCAATTTTTTATTTTTTCATGCTGATTTGAAGGCCATTAAAGCATTTGACCCAATCAAAAAAGTTTCAGTTGTATATTTATACTTTTACGGTTTTTGCGGAATGTCGCGTTAAAGTTGATGCCGTGGTGTCAGTAAAATGGCACGGATAAACACATCCATATATATCGTCTCGCTTTATATATAGTAAGATTGTTTCTTAGCTTGTTTTCAAATGAATTAACAGCAGATCATTTACAGTCGGTAATGATAAAATTCTTTTATTGAACTGAGTTTTGAATTGAGGCCTTTAATTTTTGTGATATCCAAGTTTATTAGAATATTGGCTTCAGTTTGTGCTCCTTTTGTTTCGGTTAACTCCTGGCGTAGTAGTAGTAGTACTACTACTACTACTACTACTACTACTACTTTATACTACTACTACTACTACTACTAGTACTACTACTACTACTACTACTAGTACTACTACTACTACTACTACTACTACTAATTTAGCGCGGGAGTGCTGTATGTTAGAAGAAAGCAACGTGTGCACGAAGAAGAAGAGAGTACTTTAGAAGGAGAGTTGTACTACTACTTTAGTAGTAGTACAACTTTAGTAGTAGTACTTGGAGATGCGCAATGCAACACCTCCTCGCCTGCTGTTTTTGCCAATCTAAGAAAGAGAAAGAGAAAAACCGGGGGTGTAGTCGTACTGGAGAGGAGCCGCAACAGGAAGGGGAGCCCGCCCCCCGACCCAGCCACACCCCACCTGATAGTGGTCCCAGAACACGTACCGGCAGCACTAAGTCTAGACAGGGAGAGAAGGGGGAGAAGAGACACAACACTCATACAGATACTGGGACACCGTTTGGTTACCAGGTAGGTTGCAGGAGTATTGGCTATACTGGCACTGGAACTGAGTTCCTGCCAACTTAACAGTACCAATTATCAACATTCTGCTGACTGACACACACACACACACACACACACATGTATAATACACTATCAATATACATTATACACTACGTTTAATACACTATCAATATACATTATAGACTACGTATAATACACTATCAATGTACATTATATACTATGTATAATACACTATCAATGTACATTATACACTATGTATAATACATTATCAATGTACATTATACACTATGTATAATACACTATCAATGTACATTATACACTATGTATAATACACTATCAATGTACATTATACACTACGTATAATACACTAGATTATATACACTGTAATATGCTGTTCCCTCTTTGTGTTGCCCCTAACTAAAAGTTTAAGAGTGCATTGTTCCAGTGGAGACTCAGTCTACAAGGCACTCTCTTTTTCAACTGCTTTTTGTGTTTGTTTTTATGTTTTCAGTTCCATCTGCTTACTCCTTCATAAATATAATGGTCCTTCATACGGTCTATAAAATATAATGGTCACAATTAACTAGTAATGTGTTTTACTGTGTGCTACAAGAGGGAGACTAGTAATGTGTTTTACTGTGTGCTACAAGAGGGAGACTAGTAATGTGTTTTACTGTGTGCTACAAGAGGGAGACTAGTAATGTGTTTTACTGTGTGCTACAAGAGGGAGACTAGTAATGTGTTTTACTGTGTGCTACAAGAGGGAGACTAGTAATGTGTTTTACTGTGTGCTACAAGAGGGAGACTAGTAATGTGTTTTACTGTGTGCTACAAGAGGGAGACTAGTAATGTGTTTTACTGTGTGCTACAAGAGGGAGACTAGTAATGTGTTTTACTGTGTGCTACAAGAGGGAGACTAGTAATGTGTTTTACTGTGTGCTACAAGAGGGAGACTAGTAATGTGTTTTACTGTGTGCTACAAGAGGGAGACTAGTAATGTGTTTTACTGTGTGCTACAAGAGGGAGACTAGTAATGTGTTTTACTGTGTGCTACAAGAGGGAGACTAGTAATGTGTTTTACTGTGTGCTACAAGAGGGAGACTAGTAATGTGTTTTACTGTGTGCTACAAGAGGGAGACTAGTAATGTGTTTTACTGTGTGCTACAAGAGGGAGACTAGTAATGTGTTTTACTGTGTGCTACAAGAGGGAGACTAGTAATGTGTTTTACTGTGTGCTACAAGAGGGAGACTAGTAATGTGTTTTACTGTGTGCTACAAGAGGGAGACTAGTAATGTGTTTTACTGTGTGCTACAAGAGGGAGACTAGTAATGTGTTTTACTGTGTGCTACAAGAGGGAGACTAGTAATGTGTTTTACTGTGTGCTACAAGAGGGAGACTAGTAATGTGTTTTACTGTGTGCTACAAGAGGGAGACTAGTAATGTGTTTTACTGTGTGCTACAAGAGGGAGACTAGTAATGTGTTTTACTGTGTGCTACAAGAGGGAGACTAGTAATGTGTTTTACTGTGTGCTACAAGAGGGAGACTAGTAATGTGTTTTACTGTGTGCTACAAGAGGGAGACTAGTAATGTGTTTTACTGTGTGCTACAAGAGGGAGACTAGTAATGTGTTTTACTGTGTGCTACAAGAGGGAGACTAGTAATGTGTTTTACTGTGTGCTACAAGAGGGAGACTAGTAATGTGTTTTACTGTGTGCTACAAGAGGGAGACTAGTAATGTGTTTTACTGTGTGCTACAAGAGGGAGACTAGTAATGTGTTTTACTGTGTGCTACAAGAGGGAGACTAGTAATGTGTTTTACTGTGTGCTACAAGAGGGAGACTAGTAATGTGTTTTACTGTGTGCTACAAGAGGGAGACTAGTAATGTGTTTTACTGTGTGCTACAAGAGGGAGACTAGTAATGTGTTTTACTGTGTGCTACAAGAGGGAGACTAGTAATGTGTTTTACTGTGTGCTACAAGAGGGAGACTAGTAATGTGTTTTACTGTGTGCTACAAGAGGGAGACTAGTAATGTGTTTTACTGTGTGCTACAAGAGGGAGACTAGTAATGTGTTTTACTGTGTGCTACAAGAGGGAGACTAGTAATGTGTTTTACTGTGTGCTACAAGAGGGAGACTAGTAATGTGTTTTACTGTGTGCTACAAGAGGGAGACTAGTAATGTGTTTTACTGTGTGCTACAAGAGGGAGACTAGTAATGTGTTTTACTGTGTGCTACAAGAGGGAGACTAGTAATGTGTTTTACTGTGTGCTACAAGAGGGAGACTAGTAATGTGTTTTACTGTGTGCTACAAGAGGGAGACTAGTAATGTGTTTTACTGTGTGCTACAAGAGGGAGACTAGTAATGTGTTTTACTGTGTGCTACAAGAGGGAGACTAGTAATGTGTTTTACTGTGTGCTACAAGAGGGAGACTAGTAATGTGTTTTACTGTGTGCTACAAGAGGGAGACTAGTAATGTGTTTTACTGTGTGCTACAAGAGGGAGACTAGTAATGTGTTTTACTGTGTGCTACAAGAGGGAGACTAGTAATGTGTTTTACTGTGTGCTACAAGAGGGAGACTAGTAATGTGTTTTACTGTGTGCTACAAGAGGGAGACTAGTAATGTGTTTTACTGTGTGCTACAAGAGGGAGACTAGTAATGTGTTTTACTGTGTGCTACAGAGGGATCCTTATGTGTTTTACTTTCTAAAAACAGTAATTGTTTTATTGTAAAACCGAAAGATAATTTTCTGTGAGCCACCAAATGAATTTAAAAAATGTGTTTTTACGTGTTACAGAAGGGGTAAGTAATTTTTTCTTTGAAAAATAGAATGAGTTTCTCTGGGTGCAGTTTTCAAAGTAGAAAAGTTTTTCTTCTACTAACGAAGTAGTTTAAAGTGTGTTTCTTTCTACAAGAGGACTAGTTATGTTTAAATGTTGCTCCGAGGGAACAGTAAGTGTTTCTATCAAAAAGTGAACGTTTTTTCTCTGGACAGAGGAAGACTAAAGTAAGGTTTTACATGTGCCTACAAGAAAGAAGATAGTATCGTGGTTTTACTGTGTGACAGGAGGGGACAGTTTTTTTAAAATGTTGAAATTACAAAAGAGGCCCCGTATTTTGACCTTGTAACAGTATGTGTTTTACTGGTGCTACAAGAGCCCAGGACTATAATGTTGTTTTACGTTCTACAAGTTACAGTATGTTACTGTGACCTCAAGACTTGTAAACTTACTACAGAAGACTGAATGTTTCTTGGGCTGAGGAAATTTTTTTCTTTCAAAAAAAAAAAAAAAAAAAAAAAAAAAAAAAAAAAAAAAAAAAAAAAAAAAAAAAAAAAAAAAAAAAAAAAAAAAAAAAAAAAAAAAAAAAAAAAAAAAAAAAAAAAAAAAAAAAAAAAAAAAAAAAAAAAAAAAAAAAAAAAAAAAAAAAAAAAAAAAAAAAAAAAAAAAAAAAAAAAAAAAAAAAAAAAAAAAAAAAAAAAAAAAAAAAAAAAAAAAAAAAAAAAAAAAAAAAAAAAAAAAAAAAAAAAAAAAAAAAAAAAAAAAAAAAAAAAAAAAAAAAAAAAAAAAAAAAAAAAAAAAAAAAAAAAAAAAAAAAAAAAAAAAAAAAAAAAAAAAAAAAAAAAAAAAAAAAAAAAAAAAAAAAAAACAAGAGGGAGACTAGTAATGTGTTTTACTGTGTGCTACAAGAGGGAGACTAGTAATGTGTTTTACTGTGTGCTACAAGAGGGAGACTAGTAATGTGTTTTACTGTGTGCTACAAGAGGGAGACTAGTAATGTGTTTTACTGTGTGCTACAAGAGGGAGACTAGTAATGTGTTTTACTGTGTGCTACAAGAGGGAGACTAGTAATGTGTTTTACTGTGTGCTACAAGAGGGAGACTAGTAATGTGTTTTACTGTGTGCTACAAGAGGGAGACTAGTAATGTGTTTTACTGTGTGCTACAAGAGGGAGACTAGTAATGTGTTTTACTGTGTGCTACAAGAGGGAGACTAGTAATGTGTTTTACTGTGTGCTACAAGAGGGAGACTAGTAATGTGTTTTACTGTGTGCTACAAGAGGGAGACTAGTAATGTGTTTTACTGTGTGCTACAAGAGGGAGACTAGTAATGTGTTTTACTGTGTGCTACAAGAGGGAGACTAGTAATGTGTTTTACTGTGTGCTACAAGAGGGAGACTAGTAATGTGTTTTACTGTGTGCTACAAGAGGGAGACTAGTAATGTGTTTTACTGTGTGCTACAAGAGGGAGACTAGTAATGTGTTTTACTGTGTGCTACAAGAGGGAGACTAGTAATGTGTTTTACTGTGTGCTACAAGAGGGAGACTAGTAATGTGTTTTACTGTGTGCTACAAGAGGGAGACTAGTAATGTGTTTTACTGTGTGCTACAAGAGGGAGACTAGTAATGTGTTTTACTGTGTGCTACAAGAGGGAGACTAGTAATGTGTTTTACTGTGTGCTACAAGAGGGAGACTAGTAATGTGTTTTACTGTGTGCTACAAGAGGGAGACTAGTAATGTGTTTTACTGTGTGCTACAAGAGGGAGACTAGTAATGTGTTTTACTGTGTGCTACAAGAGGGAGACTAGTAATGTGTTTTACTGTGTGCTACAAGAGGGAGACTAGTAATGTGTTTTACTGTGTGCTACAAGAGGGAGACTAGTAATGTGTTTTACTGTGTGCTACAAGAGGGAGACTAGTAATGTGTTTTACTGTGTGCTACAAGAGGGAGACTAGTAATGTGTTTTACTGTGTGCTACAAGAGGGAGACTAGTAATGTGTTTTACTGTGTGCTACAAGAGGGAGACTAGTAATGTGTTTTACTGTGTGCTACAAGAGGGAGACTAGTAATGTGTTTTACTGTGTGCTACAAGAGGGAGACTAGTAATGTGTTTTACTGTGTGCTACAAGAGGGAGACTAGTAATGTGTTTTACTGTGTGCTACAAGAGGGAGACTAGTAATGTGTTTTACTGTGTGCTACAAGAGGGAGACTAGTAATGTGT